ATAGGTGTGTTTTTCGGAATTAAATCGGATCGGAAATCGGAAATTTCAAATTTATTTAATATAATTCCAATTTCAATCCAAAAAATCGGAAAAATTCGAAAATCGGAATTTCGGAATTCGAAATGAAAATAGTTGTTCCAAATCGGAACTTTTCGGATCGGAACCGGCGAAATTGGAAATTCCATTCCAACTTGCACCCCTAATATTGATATATCCCGACACAATGAGTAAGTCCTAGCTAGTACAAGAAAAGACGTAATGAAATTCGACCTTTGAAGTAAATAAAGAGGCTCGGGCTCTAGCACGGGCAGATGAATGTGCTGCCGAGTCAATTAAGGTGCCACGTACCCAAATAATGTTGAATTGGAGATCTACTTAACATCTAAGTTTAACGGTACTATTCGACTGGCAAATCGGATTGAAATGTCATTGGAAATCGACTTCTTCGACCATACACCCGGTGATAAAACACCGGGTGGGTCTTCTGCTGCCACGTGTCTTTTTTTGTATTTTATAATATATTCTCCCGCTAGGATTTAACTTTAGGAGTTTTAGAAAAAAAAAAAAAAAAAACACGTGGCAGCAAAAGACCCACACGGTGTTTATCACCGGGTGTAGGGTCGAAGGAGCCTTTGAAATCCGCAGGGACTCCAATAAAAGGAGGGCAGTATTCGATACCATAGTAAGCAACCTGTTACGTGGTAATTTGAGTAAAGAAACATAGTTCGAGAATTAAGAAGAAATCGAGAGATATGAATTAGGAGGAGAATTAGAAGAAGAATTAGAGAGGAGAATTAAGAGAAGACAAAGGGAGATTAATTGATTCTTAAACTTCATAATACGTAACATTCTAATTACCCTATTTATAATACTCATAAATAATAATTAACTACCACCCCACTAACCCCTTAACCACACTAACCCACTAATTTAATTCATGCCCACTAATAAAAAACTACCCACTAACATATAATTTGACTAATTCTAATTAAATTAAATAATAAAACATATCATTCCCGCCCGCTCAAAATATCCTTGTCCTCAAGGATATAGTCTTAATACGTGTATGGGATCATTTTGTGAATTCAGTTGATCGGGTGATCCATCACATATTTGAGAGAGTTGTTCGAACTCTTCATAGTAAATGGCATCAATGAGTGTTTGTTTCATGAAACGAGTGAGGGCTTCGGAAGGATCGTCACATTCGGTAGGACTAAAACGGTAGAGCAACGCCTTAGTAAAATATTCCCAGGCCGACGAGCCCTTGAACCCAATTAACCGGCGATTCCGTTCCAAAGTGAGTCCTTCCAAACGAAATGAATCGAGGTGCACCTGCTGATTTTGGGCAATACTTTGAAATTCAAAATATTGCTTGGCTTGGAAAATCCATTCCGTTGCGTTATCTGCGGCGACTTTTGGAATTTGTTGTTTGAGGTTTGTATTTGGTCCAGGGTATGGAGTTAAGTGTGTTGTAGGTATATTTATTTTTTGCTTGACCGGTAGTGGTGTTTCTCCCACAACAAAGGAGTTGACATCATTTTCGGCTTTGGAGGAGGCTCTTAGAGCTCGAAGTTCGGTGAGAACAACTTGGAGGGTGTTGTGTATTTTGTCGAAATTTGATTCGTGTCGAGCTAGGGTTTCAATAACCTCAGCACGAAACTCAGCATCTGATTGGTTACGTGCCTCCATGGAACGTAACGGCTCTGATACCATTGTTACGTGGTAATTTGAGTAAAGAAACATAGTTCGAGAATTAAGAAGAAATCGAGAGATATGAATTAGGAGGAGAATTAGAAAAAGAATTAGAGAGGAGAATTAAGAGAAGACAAAGGGAGATTAATTGATTCTTAAACTTCATAATACGTAACATTCTAATTACCCTATTTATAATACTCATAAATAATAATTAACTACCACCCCACTAACCCCTTAACCACACTAACCCACTAATTTAATTCATGCCCACTAATAAAAAACTACCCACTAACATATAATTTGACTAATTCTAATTAAATTAAATAATAAAACATATCATTCCCGCCCGCTCAAAATATCCTTGTCCTCAAGGATATAGTCTTAATACGTGTATGGGATCATTTTGTGAATTCAGTTGATCGGGTGATCCATCACATATTTGAGAGAGTTGTTCGAACTCTTCATAGTAAATGGCATCAATGAGTGTTTGTTTCATGAAACGAGTGAGGGCTTCGGAAGGATCGTCACATTCGGTAGGACTAAAACGGTAGAGCAACGCCTTAGTAAAATATTCCCAGGCCGACGAGCCCTTGAACCCAATTAACCGGCGATTCCGTTCCAAAGTGAGTCCTTCCAAACGAAATGAATCGAGGTGCACCTGCTGATTTTGGGCAATACTTTGAAATTCAAAATATTGCTTGGCTTGGAAAATCCATTCCGTTGCGTTATCTGCGGCGACTTTTGGAATTTGTTGTTTGAGGTTTGTATTTGGTCCAGGGTATGGAGTTAAGTGTGTTGTAGGTATATTTATTTTTTGCTTGACCGGTAGTGGTGTTTCTCCCACAACAAAGGAGTTGACATCATTTTCGGCTTTGGAGGAGGCTCTTAGAGCTCGAAGTTCGGTGAGAACAACTTGGAGGGTGTTGTGTATTTTGTCGAAATTTGATTCGTGTCGAGCTAGGGTTTCAATAACCTCAGCACGAAACTCAGCATCTGATTGGTTACGTGCCTCCATGGAACGTAACGGCTCTGATACCATTGTTACGTGGTAATTTGAGTAAAGAAACATAGTTCGAGAATTAAGAAGAAATCGAGAGATATGAATTAGGAGGAGAATTAGAAAAAGAATTAGAGAGGAGAATTAAGAGAAGACAAAGGGAGATTAATTGATTCTTAAACTTCATAATACGTAACATTCTAATTACCCTATTTATAATACTCATAAATAATAATTAACTACCACCCCACTAACCCCTTAACCACACTAACCCACTAATTTAATTCATGCCCACTAATAAAAAACTACCCACTAACATATAATTTGACTAATTCTAATTAAATTAAATAATAAAACATATCATTCCCGCCCGCTCAACCGCCCTTTATATCGATTATAATGTCATTTTCTCTCTCTCATACACTATTTATTTCATCTTTGTCCTGGTCAACACTAATTGTTAGAGTTGTTCGAACTCTTCATAGTAAATGGCATCAATGAGTGTTTGTTTCATGAAACGAGTGAGGGCTTCGGAAGGATCGTCAATAAATTAAAATGATAACCACAAAGGTTAGTGGAAAAAAAAATATATAACCACTAATTGTTAGTTTCTAAAACATATTCAAGTAACAAAATTTTGTAAAATAAAATATATATAGAAAGAATAGAATTGGAGAAGGAGAGAAATAATAATGCGTAATAAAAACCCCCATTGTATTATGGGTTGATTTACATGGAATATATATAGAGAAATAATACGAGGTAATAGAGTTTGACTAGGTAATTAAATCCTAACGAATCTAGGTAACCGAATCATAATAGAATCCTAATATCCTATAATATCTAATAATATAATATACTCTAACAATATATATTAGGGTATATGAACAATGTGGGTACTAGCTAATGGTTTTAAATGGGTAGCTAAATGGAGATCACTGTAGATATTGATATTAAATGATACATTCCACCAATAGTTTAAACATTTGTTTGAGATGGTCATTTAATATGGTATCAGAGTCGGGCAAATGAAAGGTCCTGAGTTCGAATTCCACCACCAGTCATTTCAAATATTTCAAGTTCAACACTTCAAATGTAATTCGCATGTCACTTGAAGAGGCATACTGGAAATATTAATATGAAATCATACATTTCACCAGGGCCGGCTCAAGCCCATATGGGGCCCTAGGTAAAAAAATAAATTTAGGGCCCTTTACATTAACTTTTTAATATAAAATTAACTATTTTGAATATTTTTATTTTAGTTTAAATACACGTATTAAATTATAAATTAATATATTATTTTTTATACAAATTCAGGCTATATATATTAATATTTTTATTTAAATAAGAAAATATAAATTTTATTTTGTATTTGGGGGGCCCTAATTAGAGTACTCATAAGTGGGGGACTAGCTAGGCTAGGCCTAAGTTGTTTATAGCCTAGGGTCGGGCCTGCATTTCACTAATAGCTTAAGCTTTCGGCTGAGATGATAATTCAACAGGGACGTGTTATCCGGAAAACGAAAAGGGCGATTGAGGAATTTTTACGATGCTCACTCCGTGTGTGCATTTAATTTG